GGAGGGGTCAGACTGATACGGGTTCAAATTCCGGCTCATCATAAGGTAAGCTTTTTAACGTCTCTTGAGCCTCAGTTACCCATCTGAAAACTAGGGATGGTAACAACTTCTCTGAAGGTTTCTGTGAGGATTAGAACTGTGAACTTAGGTGTTCTAGCCCAGTGTCCAGCACGTAGGAGGTGTTTAACAAATAAATGCTACCATTTCTACAGGTCATCCTGACCACTTTTCTTTTTTCATGTTCAGTTTTGAAAATATTCCTAGATAGAAACAGGAATAGTATGCATTTGAAGATGATATGAGCAACCACAAAGAAAATACCCTTACCACTGGAGATGGCAAGGCCTCCTTGGACTGTGGGCTCAGCCAAGTTTCAGTTTCACCTAGTTGAGCTAAACCCTGGTAGGCAAGCTGAGATCTCTTACACCTCATTCTTTCCGGCAGTGCTGCGCTTCATCAGATGATTTCATTTCAGGCAGTTGCTTGCTGACATAGCCGAGTCTGACCCCTGCCCCTTGGCGGCACTGGCTCTCCTTGGGGCCCTCCGACTCCTGCCGCCCCGTGTCTCCTGAGCAGGATGCTCAGAGGGGTCTAGCTGGGCACAGGTATGTTACCTCTGCCCCCTTAGCAGAGTCCAGCCTTGCTGGTGGCCGTGAACTCTCATGAAGTCTCGTTAGCCACCTTGGCTGCGTTAAGCTCATCACACTTTGTAAGCCTCACTGGCTTCTCCAAGACCTCAGAGCTCATTACACCCGGCTCCTTCATCAGAACTCGGGGGTTCCGAGGCTTCCTTACAGATCCTAGGATTTCAGCAGTGGAAGGACTGCTTTCCACCCCTGTCTGGGTCTGAACTCTGAAATTCCCAGGTCCTGGAGGGCAGAATCCATTTCCAGATTCCCCCTGGCTCCCAGTAGACACACAAACATCTTCTTCATCACATTTCATTTTTTAATGATAGCAGGTTTGGTGACTCCAGAGTACAAGCTCCTCAGACCAGCGTGTGAGGCTTTCTGTACCGGACTGGACTTGCCCTCACTCCTGTCTCCTGTCTTCCATTTCCCTCAAGGGCCTACAGAGGAGCCTTTTTTCCAGGAAGCCCCCTTGATTTTCAGAGAGCCCTTTCCTCCCTGACCTTTCTCCTGTACTCTGAATCATATAGATACAGCAGGCTACACATGGAGTTGCTAGATGTTTTGCTATGCCTACAGATATGCCCATAATCACAGATTCAGGAATGCGTGTGTGTATAAACATGTGTATACATACATACACACACACACACACACACACATGCAGTGTATAAAGTCTGAATCCCTCTGTATTCACAGGGAGATGGCTCCAAGATCCCCAAAGATACCAAAATCCATGGATGCTCAGGTCCCTTATATGAAATGGCATGGTACAGTCGGCCCTTTGTAATCTATTTGGAACTTGTGGATATGGAGGGCCAACTGTATACATACGATATATAAATATGCACACCCATCCACACATATATATTCATATAATATGCATACATAAATATACATATCTGCTATTTCTAAACTGATAGGAACACCCTTCTATGTAATTATGTATTTCACAATGTTGACATAAGTGTAATACTGCTAAAATCAGTCCCCTATTATTTGACATATTTGAGAGTTCTTCATTGTTCTAAACAATGCTCCTGTGAAATGCTAGCTTAACCAGTTAGTAGGCATCCAGGCACGCTGGACTCTGGGGTCAGACCGACCTGTGTTTGACTTATCCCCACCTACCACTCTCTGCTGACCTGGGACAAGCCCTTTCACCTTTTAACATTTCTGTTTCCTTATCTATCAAATAGACTAATAGCACGTAAGAGCTCAATATTGGGCCTGGCAGATAGTAAGTGCTCAGGTCCGAAACTGCAGCAGTCTGGGAGACAGAGGAGGATTCACTGTCCCCCTGACGTGTCACTCTGTACACCCCTACTTTGTGGTGTGTGACAACAACCCTCGGAGGTGACAGGTGACAGCCCTCTATAGCGGTTACGTGCTGCCTAAATTTAAGAATGTATTACTGCTTCTGTTTTTATTTCTCTTACTGTTTTCTACAGGTTTTAGGATGATGTAACAAACTATACAAAGGGAGCATTTGAGAGCACTTAAAAAAAAACCTGCTTTGCTATTTTACAGTTTTGGTGAAAATGATTCATGCTTATTCTAAATGATGTAGACAATACCAAGAAAGCACAAAGAAGAAAATAAAATTCCAGATCCCACCAACCCGGAGGGAGCATGGTTGGCACGCTGGCTGTGGTCTTGTTTTCCTTGCTAGCCCTTGGCCCCAGGGCAAGCCAGGGCCAGCATCTGCTTTTTAATGTCTGTTGACCTTCAGCAGACTGACTCGTTAACAGAGGCGTGCTCCGGGTCTGTCCCTCTCAGCCAGCCTCTGACAGTTTCATTAACCCCATTAAATCATGCAGGTGCCGTTACACCTTCTGGGCTTGTTAATCTCTGTTCAGCTCTGGTAAGTTAGAACCTGGCTGGAAAGTTGGATGTGCCTTGTTAACCTCCATTAAACCCTATTAAATTTCCTAACTAGAGTCTGAGTGACTTCGAGGAATCCCTCATTAAAGTGGAATGAGTCCAGTTGATCAGGACAAGGGGAACTGCTGCAGCTAGCTGCACAGCTGCCGAGCGTGGTGCTCCCGAGTTCTTTGGTGGTGGAGTTGACGAGTGTCCCTCGGCTGGACAATCCTCAGACTCACTCCTAGGAGCGCCTCCAGCTCTTGTTGTTACTTGGACAGTTCCTAGACCTCTCAGGGCCTGTGTTTCCTTCTCTATAGACTGGAGTTAGTAACAGTTCCTACTTGATGTGACTGTAGTGAGACTGGATACACCAGTGCATGTAAAATTAGTAACAGGTTGTCTGGTGTGTACACTGCCTGCGTGTGCTGTCACTTCAGTCGTGTCTGACTCTTTGTGACCCCACGGACTGTAGCCCTCCAGGCTCCTCTGTCCATGGGATTTCCCAGGCAAGACACTGGAGTGGGTTGCCATTTCCTTCTCCAGATCTTCCTGACCCAGGGATTGAACCCACATCTCCTCCGTCTCCTGCATTGCGGGTGGGTTCTTTACCTTCTGAGTCACCTGGGAAGCCCTGCACACTGCACTCAATGGCTATTATTATATCTGGATGCAGAAGATCCTTACAAACTAAAGAACTGTTAAGTAAATGGAAGATTCAATTCCAGACCTTTTTTTTGTCTTCCTACATGCCAGGCACTGTGGATTATTTTCATTCTGTTTTTTGTTTTTTCTCCAGAGGGAAGAGCATCTATTCCAATGATTCATCTTCAAAGTGTCTTCGCTGTGCACGTCACTGTATTTGCTCAGCTCTGATCTTTCTGAGCTGCTTGAGGCTAATGGTAGCTTCTTTGCCTTCCTGGGCCTTAGATGGTTGGACTCAGGGCCATCTGCATCTGGATGCGCAAATTCCCCAGGGGATTTTTCCTGGGCTGCCCTGGCAAAGAGTTTCATTAAGTAGGTCTTACTGGAAATTTCTAACCAGTATTCCTGATGAGTTTGAAGTTGCTGAATTGAGAAACCGCTGGACCAGTTTTGCACTTCTCAACTCTAATAAGCTTGAGTCTTAGTTGGGGAAATTAAAAAACTCATATTCCTGGAATTCGGCCCCTGAGCTTTCCATACTGAAAGTCTGGGGTGGGGCCCAGGAATTGGCATTGTAACAGTCTGATGGTGGTGGGAGGTGGCAAGTGCCACCCTTCCAAAAGGCTGGACCTCAGCTGATCTGATATTCAACATTCTAAAGTTCTGTTTTGAAAAAAGGATGTCTGGTCCCCAGTAGAACCTCCGTCCTAATGGTTCAGTAAGATGTGGGCTCATCCTTCCGTCATGACTGTCCATCACAACTGATGTCTGTGGATCCTCACATGAGATTGACTTCAGCAGGGGTTGGCCAGTTTAGGGGAAGCCTGGCAATAAAGCACCTCTCCTAGTTGCAGTGTGTGAGGGGTCAGAGGCAGCCCTCAGCAGTTTCATGTGAAAGGGAGGGCACAGACAGAAGTGGAAGGAACTACTTATGTTATATCTCAGATCAAGAGACCGCATGGTAGAAGACTGGATGTTCCTTTGCTTTCAGGAGGAAGGTGACTCTGAAAAATGGCATGCTTCAGCAACAACCTATCACTGACCCTGAAGGCTCCAGGTGACAAGACTCCCCACTCTCCTTGCCACCTAGGATGCTGAGAAATCCACCTCCACACTATTTGCATGGGAGTAGAATGGGAGAGGGTGAGGGTGCTGAGGGGGTGAACTGTACTTTGAAGATTTGTTTAAAATTTCAGAGTGTGCATGCCCATGTGGCAAAAATAGGCTAGCTTTCCTGGTGGCTCAGATGGTAAAGAATCCACCTGCAATGCAGGAGACCTGGGTTCAATCTCTGGGTCGGGAAGATCCCCTGGAGGAGGACGTGGCAACCCACTCCAGTATTCTTACCTGGAGAATCCCCACAGACAGAGGAAGCTGGTGGGCTATGGTCCACGGGGTCGCAGAGAGTTGGACACGACTGAACGACTCAACACAATGTGTAACACACAGTGGTGGCTGCCCTTAGAAGGGACCTGGATTTTCCAGTTTGCAACTCCCTCTGCACCACCCCCCCCCCCCAAGTAGGCATTTCAATTTGCAACCATCCATCCAGTAGATGGGTGGACAACTATACATGGATAACCGGAGACCAGAGTGAAACTCTGGGGCCGGGGTACCTGCTATGCTGGGTAGCACTCAGGCTCAACTCCGGCTGATCAGCTGCAGTCAGTTTGCACAGGAGTGAGCAGGAGGGCAGGGTCAGACTTCTGTGACCTGCACTCACGCAGGGTGCACTGGGGGTGGAAGGGCAAATGGAGGGAAGACGGCTATCCTCAGTCACTGTCCTACACAGCTAGGGGCCGAACGCACAAGTGAAAGATCTGAGCTCCATGCGGGCATTCAAAGCGAACAACAGAATGTGTCTCTTGTTTCTCATTTAGATCATTTATTAAGAGCAAAAGTCGGGCCATCCCATCTGTGTGATATTGCAACATGAAAAGTCATATACATACTAAGGAGACCCCACAGAATTGAGAGCCTTTCAACAGTACAGAGCCATAGATTACAAAATTAAAATACAAATGATCCCCCCAATTGGCAGGAAACATGTACAATGAAGAGGCCTGGAATGGAAGGGCACTTGCTTTTTGATAAGGCAGTTACAAAATGGAAAAAAAAAAAAACCAAACCCAAACCAACCCGCACCCCTAAAACACTCTGATGGGCTCAACAGATAACAGACATGTGTAACAGGGATCCTGCACAAGCCTCTGCCATTGGCAAAGATATGTTCATTAAATGAAAGCCATTGAAGAGTTTGTGTTTGAAGATGCAAGCCAGATGAAATGACTGTAGACATTCCTACTGTAAGAAAAGTCCCACCCTGCCTCTGGCTGGATTCCACCTCAAAAAATGGGATTGACTTTACCCTTCCTAACCATGAACTTGGAAACAGTCTGTAATAAAATGAAAGGAATACAAAAGCACCCCTAGAGCACCACGCTTCCCAGGGCGTGGTCTTGAGCTCACCTGTCCTTCAGTTCAACTGTCTCTCTCGCTAACAGGGATGGGGGCAGCAAATGGCAGGGCCACAGAGCTGTGTCTGCTCAAGTCAGGGTCACCTGATTGACCCACCTGAAAGGCAAGCGCATTTCATGAGAATTTAGATTCTAGGACACCACCACATTTCCCACTAGGACTCTGGAACCTTGGTCTTAAAGTACAGCCTTTTTCTGATCTCCCTTCCCATTCATTTTACAAAACTCAACTGATGGCCTTCCCAGTCAGGTCTCACAGCCTGGAGTTCTGCAGGTTGGTTCATAGTCCCTGAGAGCCAGGCTGGCCTGGGGGACCTCTGCTCAGGGGCAGGTCTCAAGGACCTGAAAGCAGCTCCCTTGCAGAATGGGTTCCAGCTACGCTGTGAGTTGTGAAGTGAACAAGCGCTAAGTGGGTCTAGATGATGCCAAAGCATTCAGGCAAGTCTTTTCGAATCTTGGTTTCCCCATCTCTAAAAATCAATGACTGGGCAATGGCAACCTTTAAGGAGTTTCCAGCTTGAAAATATGGCACCTCTCTGACACTGAGACATGTGGTTCCCCCAAGTTCCTAAGCTTTGCTTTCTCCATAAAAGCAGTGTGTGCAGTACTTGCAGGAATCTTAAGGTATAAGTCCTTAGGGGCTATTTAAGCTTTCAACTCCAGGACAGCATGATCACAGTTTACAATCTTCCAGCTAAAACTTTTCCTAAGTTTTGTGAGGCAAACACAAAACTAAGGCCTCTTCTGTCCTAAGGTATTTTTTTTAGCAGTTCTGGAAGCACTGTCTTCTCCCCTGACCTCCTCCATCAGTTTTAGCAAGACTGAGGGAGTATAACTGGGGTTTCCTCAACATCTTCAATAAGGAACTAAATGGACTAATGATACTTAGAGGGGAGAACATTCAGACACCAAAGTGTCTGTTTGCTAGCTGCTCCTTCCCCAAAGACAAACACTATACCCTGGGATGGTGCCAGCGATTAGTCCTTGGCTAACTTACTTGGCCCCCATTAGGCAGAGACTAAGATGGAAATTACTGAGAACACAGAAAAGCCAGAGGTTTACAAAGATAGGACAGGCTTCCCCAGGAGGTAGTGAGTTCTCTGTCCTCGGAGGTGTTTAAGCCCAGAATGCTCAATCCTTGGTGGGACGGTTGTAGGCAGAATGTCAGCACCTATGGGAGACTGGACTGGATGACTTAGAGGTCCTTTCCCAACGTTTGGATCTTGTCGTTGTAATGACAGAGTCCTCAGATGATTTCCGTGCAGTAACAGCTCTGGGATCTGTGGTTGGGCTCCTGAGTAAGTTCCCACTCTGGCTTTCTCCTTCCTACCATGCAGGTGCCCTCCAGGATGTTAACAAAAAGTTCCCACAAATAAACAGCTGAAATGCCAAGGTTAGATGCAACATTCCAGCTGTAAGCAGTTATTCATATCTGCTCTCTGGAAGACTAGCTGTGACTATTTAGCTATGACAGGAACATCTAACAACTTGGCGGCTGCATCACATACATGAAATTCCTCTTCCTTTTACACCCCTGGTCTTGAATCCTTTGGTTGCAATCTCTCAAGGGATTTGGCTATGATCTTTTTCACATGCTGTTGCCAACCTAAGAGTCTGTTCACTGAAATAAAGTCTGTCCATTTGTTTTTTAAAAACCTTAAAAGGAAGCAACACGGATGGCAAGATGTTGACAATTCCATGTGACACACTCTTCAGGGCACAGGAAAGAACGAAGCAGGCTGGAACTGAGGCAGGAGCCATGCTCTTGAAGAAGACAAAGCCAGTCTGGATTGCATATTCCAGTTTTGCCCAGGAGCACCAACAGCAGAGAAGGCAATGCTGCGACGTGACAGGTAGAGAGAAGCAGAGTCCTTGCCGGGTGGCAGAGAAATGCAGGCAGCCACGATGAGCGCTGCGCTCCCCAAGCCCCACTGCTCCCCACAGCCAGACCTGGTTGCTTTGGAGGGTTGGCCACCTCTAACAGGTAGACGTCTCCTGCTCCAGATCAAACCATGGGAAACTGCAGAAGAGGCTAAGGCAAGTGGCTTACTGGTCTGATGAAATAGATTTCTGCACACAAGAAAAATACAAGCTCAGAGAGTTTTGTCTTTTCTCTCATCTAAGATGCTTTCGAAGGTTGAAAAGACACCCACAACTTCCATGCTCCAAAGGCCCTCTCCTTAGAGGAAAGCTGGCACAGGATTTGAGGGCGCACAGCATCTGGCTGAGGGGGAAGCTTCCCAGGCTTCATGTGGGAACGAAAGCACTCTCACAGCCACTCTTGAACAGATGGGACCTAATACCACAGCTTCTTGTACAGAAGTGCATTGCTGTCTCTTAACTGGGAACACAGATCTGCTGTTGAAGAAACAGTGACATGACCTACACGTCCACAACTCTGGTTCAAACATCAGAAAAATACACTTTTTTTCTCAAGGAGTTGTGGACATTTCCAGAGAGCAGGTTCCCAATGTCCTAAGCCTATCTGCCCCCTAACTCCAGCCTGAGGAGAAAACACTATCTTGGATAAAGGGGGCTTGGTGTTTGATGCCTTCAAAGCCATTCTAACTCAGCTCCTCAGGGGTAAAAAAAAAATCTACTTTAGAGCCTTCTTGATGCCCACACATCAAGAGCCTTCAGCTGTGAGTAGTGAGACTCTTTAAACACCTATTGAATCTGCACAACTGAAAACACACACAGAGCACCCTGATGTGCCATCCATGGCCAGGTGTATGAAAATAAAATCCACTCAGTCTCAAGTATGCTCTATGTACATTCATTTATACATATCTTAAAAGGCTGCAATCTGCTGGACATGCGTGGTGAACACTGGTGAAAGCTGGGCTGCACCTGAACACACGGTGCTTTACTGAGGGACAGTGGTGGCCCCAGCCCTGTCCACAGAAAGCACGCTCCGTGGAACTGACACCTTTGGCCACTCTACCACCCGGCTGGGTGTGTATGTGTTGGGGGTTGTTCTGACCTCTCTGTGTGGATGCTCAGATTAAGTCATCTATGAGACACTAAAACACTCTGCCAGGCTATGCTGTCCAGTGCTGCTTCTATTTTTTAAGGCTTAAGGAAGAACTCAGAATGAAAACTGAGTTAGAAAGCGGTACCTTTGACCACAACTTTTGTCAAGGTGGTCAGAAATTAGAATTCAAGTCCTTTCTTCTCTTTTCTTCCCATTCCCTGTCCACATCCTCTGCCCTCCAATACACTGACTAGAAAATTTTGCAAAAGCATACTTTTGGATATAAAGCTTTGTTTTCAAAGGATACTTTGGCTCTGATATAATTAGATAGAGGAATCTGAAGTTTTGAACATAAAAAAAAATCAGGTAATTATTAATACTTAAAAAAAAAAAACACTTTAGCAACCTTCCCCCTAAAAGAGAGGCAAATTGCTCACAAAAATGAACATCAGATGGCACTGACCTGTGTTGCTCAAACCCATGATTTGTTGCTGACCCCCAAGGAGGCCAAAGCTGGTCAGACTTTCTATCCCAGAGCTGGACTTCGGAGCAGAAACCACCTGGTCCTTGGCAGCTTCCTTGTGGCTGTTAATTAAGGATTAGTATTTCTGAAAACAAGAGCCCCAAACCACTAAATATCTCCATGTGTCAAAGCATTTCTGGCCCAGGAGAATGACTGAAGTCCCAGTACATCACTTCACCCTGAAGTATGAAGCGTGGAGGGGTGCACAACGGGCCACGGCTCCCAGGAGGGACTCTGCATCAGGGTTTCTGGCACCTCCACAAATACAGCTTGGCACATAAGTCTGCCCTGGAGTCCCGGTCTGACCTGAAACCTCCTGCTGGTGCATCAGGACTTCCTCACGCTCTAGAAGTGAAGTGGTGAGCAACAGGAACAGCAGAGGCCTTGATACCAAGAGGTGGGAAGCCCAAGACTGGCTCTGCTAGTTACAGTTGGATGTGTCGGTAAACCCTGCCTGAGTGCCTACTGTGTGCACAGCACAGAGCCGGTGAGGGGCCAGGCTCAAATGATTTGCTGATAATCGACAAAGCGTGGCGTCTACGCCCCTGGCAGACGTTTGCTCATGCACCTCTCTGCCAGCCGTACCTCGCTGCTGGTCCGGGGCTATACCTCACAAGCGGTTGCGTGGAACTACAAGGTGACTACCAAAATATCTGTCATCCCATGTGTCCAGCAGAATTGACTTAATGCGCTGTAGAATGCAGTAATGCATTGTTTTCCTTTCATTCTTTTTCCGATCTTGTGATTTTTTTAGTCCGGTAGTTGCCTTAAAAGAAAGTCTGTGTATAAACATGCTGAATCATGAGAATATAATCCTCCTGCCCGAAAAGATTTACAGTATTCATTATTCAAACTTTTTTATTTACAATAAAATTTAACAGTCTTTATGGGCTTAAATGTAGCAGATGTCACCTGTGCATTAAGTATTATACTTCATTCCTTGAAGGTGTGCTTCGTCATCACTCAAGCTGCTTGCCACTCTCTGACTTCTGGTCCAGTCTACTCTTGTTACTCTTCACCATGTAGATGAAGTAAGCAAGGGTCTCCTTTTCATTCACAGGTATGTTCCTGAAGTGTCGGCTGACAGTCTATACGGGAGGGAAAAACAGAGCCCAAGAAAGCATGTTAATAAGCCAGGGCCGTGGATTCTCAGCTGTGTAAAAGGGAAACAGGAAGCTGCTTCCAGAGCTGGGAGGGAGTTATGATTACTGCACAACTCCCCGCAGTGCTCCAGAATAGAGAATGTGAATGCCCTTCTTTCCCAGGCTTAGGGGATTTGGCTTCCAGGCTTCCAAAAGCAACATTTTAACCCACAGCACTCTCAAGATGCAGTCCTATTTCAGGGGCAGATAGCCTATCCATCACAGCATAGTCTCAAGGTCATCTCCATGGAGGAGGAGACTGGGACTGCTCTGGGTGACCAGCTGCTACCATAACCTCTTAGACCCTGGAACTGGGCCGAAAAGTGTCTTTTTAAAATTGTGTCAAACAGCCAACTAACAGATGTAAAGGTCTGACCCAAAAAAATCATCTAAATAGTATGTAACTGCTTCTTGAAAGACATCAGATTTGAAGGAAAATTCATCATATATTACGTATTCCCAATACTTTGATCTATTTCAAGTCCTGAGAATGCAGTCTCCACTTGCCCCATCTCATCCCATCCTTCCCACCGGGGGTGGACACTGGTTTTGAAGTATGAAAGGCTTATGTACTTCTATGTTTTAGCTGGATGCTAGCGAAGGAGAGGTTTAAGAAAAAATGATGGATCAGCAAGAAAGCTCTCAAGTAAAGATCAAAAACCAACAGGGATGTGAGCCCATAAGGAAATCTCTGAATGGACCAGGGGCTCTAGGACAGATAAAAAGGGAGTCAGAGAATGAAAACTACAGAGTGGTTGTCTCTGGGTGGTTGGATTGTATTTTCCATCATTTCCAAATTTTCTATAAAAGAGAGAAAAATACATTTAGAAAATAAGGATGAGAGGATGCCCATATACATACCAATAGGACAGAGCATCAAGGCAGGCTATCAGTATATTAAAATAATGGCCAATGGAGCACCCCAACCCCATCCCACGCCCTGAACTAGATAAGGACTCAGGGCTGGAGAAAACATTCTTGTGCTCCATTCATTATAATAAACACTTCTATTACCAATATCAGAGTAGAAAAAAATCAAGGAAAGAAAACAAAGAAAGAAAAATAGCTCCTGCAGACTATGAGTGAAGGTTTAGGGATGATTAATCAGACACACCTCATGTACAGAATGGAACGTATCTGGAAAGAATCTTGCAAAACAAGATTCAAACAAACAAGCAAACAAAAGAACTCTCAGGACTTAGAATCAGGAGTCGTGAGATTCCAAGCTACCAACTTGCTATGTGATTTTAAGCAAGTCCTTTCTTTTTCTCTGTGCCCTGGTTTCTTTTATGGAAATCAGGCCTTTCTAGGTCTAAAGCTGGGGGATTCTAAATTGTGCAAGAGGGAAGAGGAAGTTGCTTCTAGAGGTATGGAGGGGTTCATACACAGGGAGAATCAAGGTCACAGTCAGCAGCACAGTGCTGCGCTCCCTCTTTAGAGGCCAAGTCTGTCTACCTACTTCTGCTAACTGGGCCTTATTGAAGCCTGGTCTGGTCTGCAATTTGTAGTGTCGTTTATAACGTCGGAGAGTGTTCACCTGCAGCTGGAACAGATCAACCTAGAGAGAAGAGAAGAAACACATTATCCATCACCTGACCAGCCACGACTCATCAAATGCCCCCATGTGCCTAGCACTATGCTAGGTAGGGGTGGGGAGGGAGAGGACTACAGACAAGTCTTAGAAATGGCCCACTGAGGACTAATTACTGGCTGGGAGGACAGAAACAACAGTGGAAGCAGAATTCTGGCCAGGGAGGGGTGGTCCTAGAAGGCTGATGGAGGTGGTGAAGCTTATGCTAAGGACAGGCAGGGTTTCAAAAGGGAGCAAGGAACAGAGAGTAGGGGATTATAGAGAAGGCCATGAGCTCAGAAAGTCAGGGGAGAAACACACGGGCTAGGAGATCAGAGGCACTTATGGTGGGTTTAAAGGGTGAGACTGGGTGGTAGCATGTCTTGACAAGCAGAAGTAGTGATCCTGGTTTGGGGAGGGGGGTGCTATCCCCAGAAGATGAATCTGTGGTGGTTTGTAGGAAGACTGACTGGGGTGCGGGGGGATGACAGAGGGAACTGCTGCAGTGATGATCCAGAAATGAGATGGGAAAGCAGGGGTGCTGATGCTGGAGGGGGCAGCAGGCAAGGAGAGAAAAGGGAAAAGCAGACAGACATCCTGGAGGACAGGTTAGAGCTCGGCCCAGAGTGGACAGAGGGGCATGAAGGAGGACAGCAGGATGTACTAGTGTTCTCAGATAGTTCTCCCCTAGGCCTAGCCGTCAGGTGTAAGGATACTTAACAGCCCCCCACCCAGAGACAGCTCAAAGCTACTGTAGTAGATGTACAAATCAGCAGGCTAGGGTCTGGGTCTCTGCAGATGACTGGGTAACAGAGGGGAAAGGACTCTTTTATTTTTTTCTAATAAAGGAAGAGAGGAAAGCTGCACAGTCATGAAATAGTGAAGGCCCGGAAAGTTGGGCTGCCTTTACCTGCCTCTAAAAGAGATGTTCTTGCTTCAGGCAGGTGGAGAGCACTTAAAAACAAAATGAATGATCAATATGAGGGACCAAAGTCCTTCATTCTTTTCAAACATTCCTCAGATCTTTTTCTTTTTGTGAAAAGCATTTTGATAGTGAATACATCCATTCCTTCGTAAAATAATAATACTAAATGCATCAGAAAGATACTGTAAACCAGTGATAGAAAAGGAGACACAGAGAGGGGCAGGGGTAAAGGGCCATATTTTCAAAGATTTTCCTCCGCATCTGCAGACAAAGGCCCGCCTACTCTTTCTATTCCTACACAGTCATTTTCACCCTGAGTGCTAACAGGCGGTTGCCTTATGAAATATTCATGCGTCAAATATTCAATGTACATTATAAATGGTTCTTCTTTTGCTGAGTCTTAAGTGAAAACAATTTAGACAGAATGAAAATTCGATATTCATTCCTGTTAACCTTGCTTAATAGACACTGGCACTTTGACGGGATGGTGGCCTTCTGGTTTGAGAAGCGATGGTTCTCAGCAGGACAATTCTGCCCCCAGAGGACACCTGCAATGTCTGGAGACACTGGGAGTAGTGGCATGCCTGGCACCTGGTGGGTAGAGGCCAGGGATGCTGCTGAACATCCTATGAGGCACAGGACAGCCACCACCACAAAGAATTATCTGGCTCCAAATGTCAACAGTGCCACTGTTGAGAAACTCTGTGCCAGTGTAACTGACCTTGGAATAGATCTTTGGGAATAAGCCTGGACCAGGAATCAGAGAGTGATAGAAAATCCAAGCTGGTGGGACCTGACAATTTACACCTTCATTTTGCAGACTAGGAAACAAAGCGGAAGTGACTTCCCCAATCCATACATACTCAGTCTCCATCTTTAAAGGCAAAACCAAAGTTCTGAAAAACTCAGCATTGTGGTTGTATTTAAATACTTTTCAGGGGCTTCTTGAAGAAAGGCAGCACAGATACTGAAGAGGGCACTGGACTGGGGCCCCCAAACTGAGTGTGTGACCTTGAGTGTCTGTGCCTATCAGTAAAATGGTGGGGCAGTTAGACCAGTTGATTTCTAAGCTTTCAACCCTCAGATTCAATATTACTATGATGCTATGATTCACTTTTCAAATACACCACAGCAACACAAAGGCGACTAAGTTACTTCTTAGACCAGGCCAGAGGTAAGGATCAGGTCAGAATTCATTCTCCCAGCTTTCTCAAGGTGAAGTTTTGGACTTTTACCTCAGGAATGTCAGTGTCATGCTCAGGAGAATCTCCGCCATCGTCACTTGTCTTCCTCTTCCTTTTATTTCGTACACTCTGGATGAAATTTTTGTGAAAATCGCAAATATACAGATGCCTTACCTGATGGGAAGCAAATTAAAGTCAGAGTTGCCAATCCCATGGAAACAGCAACAGGTATCTGTCAAACTATTGGCCTTTTCTCCTTTGTGAGGCATTGGAGAGACCACAGGAAGAAACAGATACAAGCCATCATTTCCTCAAAGAGAACACTAATATCACACCGGGCAGTTCATTATAAATCAAGTTCCCCCTGGATGATAAACACAACACATGTGACAGACACAGCAAAGGGCAGGGCTCCTGCAGCTGAGGTAACTGGAGTGGAAGTCCCTGACCAGAAGAAGACTGCAGGGAGATAGGAAGCATTCTGGATGGGACAGCCAAGATTGAAGTTTCAAAGGAGGCTGACAGAAGGTGTGAGTGAGGACGCCCTGAGGAGACTGTATCACTTAGGTGAAAGTGACTGCCTGTGCAGGAGCATCAGGAGAAATTCAGGGGTTTGGGACATGAGAACAGCTTAGACTTTCCTTCAAACAAGACAGAGTTCCCCTGCGACATGACATCTTCAGACCTGTAGGAGTGAGTAACTTACATGGGGCTGGAATGCACTGCCCCTGGGAGCAGGAAAGTGGGCACTGTGGTAATGATAGGATAACAGGCCATCCTATTTTAACATTGACAATAGCAACTACTGTACCATGACAACCCTCTGAAAAACTATTTCTATGTATCAATTTATAATTCTTGCATCAGCACTCATGGAATCCACAAAGAGAAGCAGAAAGAGGTGCAGAGATTCTCACAAGGTGAAACCACATAAAAGAATCTGGATACCACTGCTGATTTTCTAATGGAGGCTGGAGGCATAATAGTAAGTGAAGGTGGAAGCAGCAGCTAAGATGTGAAGGACGTGTTTTTATTAAGAATATAAGTACCAGGGTTGAGATGGAGGAACCATTCAAGAACCTAACAAACTGAATGCCTGTGTAAATGACTTGGGGTTGTTGACACTGAACCAGATGTTACACAAATGTTCTTGAGAGACTTCTGAATTTGAGTTTATTCCTCTACTGCTTAAAGATAAAAGTAAGCTGATAGGTAACCAGCGTAGTTAATTCAGGCCTTTCTGTGGAGAAAATAATGGAAACTGTTTCTTATTCACATGAATCAGCACTTTCATGTGGTTAGATTAGTGAGTGAGTAGTTTTATGTTTACATTGTGATAGTGTCTTGCAAACAGCAGGTATCCAATAAACATTGCTGTACCAACACAAGCAGCCCCTTGCATCTAAAAGCAGCTTAGGCCAGTAAAAGCCACATTTACATATGGCTACAAATTTGAATGACTTTGCCAGATTCAACTCTGTCAAAGGACTTTCAGACACAGCACGTGTCACAGTCTCAAAGAATCCCATCCAGCTGATGCATAGACGACTGGACATGCTTTCATCAGGGAAGAAAGCACATTCACAACATATCCTACATCCCCCATGCTAGCTAGTTTCACATGTAAGACTAAGCTGTTCTTCAAATTCACAGACTGACAGACTTAGAAAAAGAACAGGCAGAGGCATGATTCCTAAAGCTGTGACTGGGAGATTTTCAGGTCAAGATGCTAGAATAATAGAATCCTAGATGGAAAAGAACTCAGCAATCACTAGTGCAAACCCCCCCGGCTCCCATCTCCTTTTCTAGAGATATAAACTAAAGCCACCTTAAGTGAGGAAATGACCTGGCCAAGGTCATCCAGACCTTCTAACCCCGGGCACGTGTCCTTCCTACTGCAATACCTTCCTTAGACTGCTCTCCACTTCCACTTTCCTCCAGAAAAAAGCAGATATATGTCAATTGGAGTGATGTTTGAAAGCATGTTATATCTTAATAAATCACAGAACACTGCCAATGCCTATACAGAAGGAGTTAAACTGCCTGAGTTGGATTTAAGGTGCTATTATTTTAAAAGGTTCTCTGCTAGACCCTTTTATAAGATAAATAGTCATTATTCTTCCTTAACCATTTTCAAGTACATATTGGTTTTCAGAATTTCAAAGCTCAGTGGCCTTTGGGGAGTTGGGGGTGGAGGAAGGAGGGTGATAGAAAAGGCTTTTTTTTTTTTCCTGTTTCACTTTCTGCAACAGCTAAAAATTCTTGTAACACAGCAGTTATTTAGAATTGAATTCCTGCCTAAGCCTGTGAGAATGAAATAGAATCCCTTTCAGAAATAATGACACTACAACACCACCTTGAAACAAACTATGAGTGAGTCTGCCTTGAAATCCTACTCCTTCAAAAGCATTACCTTTTGGGGACTCTAGTACTGGGCTCAGGCTGCCTCTCTTCCAGACAGTGTGTATCAAAGTCAACCTAGCCCTACACAGGTTTTCACAGGTTTTCCAGAGGGGTCACCAGGAAAATGGAGTCCCAGATGCAGCAACACAACTGCTCAGAGGGTGGGTTTAAAAGAATCGGGAATTTCTGTTTCTTAAGGACTGGAAAAAATATTAAGTAAAGACTTCCAACCATCTACACAGAAGGTGGGCAGTGCTTCCATGAGGATGAATCCACTGCTGTCCTTGAATTGAGCATTTCACTTCCATATTGTCCCATTCCAGGCCACCACTGTGGCTAGCCAGTTATTTGCTCTCAGTTGAATTCCTTTCATTCACTGATAGAAACTTGTAGTGAGAAAGCCATCAATTCACCCCTAACCACTTAAAAATAGCATCTTTCCATTGGAAAGTTGCAAATATAATTGTTAGCTTAAAACAACAACTGGACGTGAGAGTAAGAGTGTAGAAGAAAGCGCATGGAAGATATTTTTAATTTTTTATTTATTGAAGACTTAATCAAGCCTTATGTGTGAGGCCCGGAAGTAAATCAGACAACAGATTCAATTAACCAGCCCCTTAGGTGCTGTGTGACTTTGGCACCCTCGCTTCCTATCTCTGGGTCTCAGTTTCCCTTGTAACATCAGAAGTGGAAAAAGTGGGTGTCCTTTCAGTTTAATGAGCAATCTCTGATTTCCCCCCAAAGTGGAGAAATTTTGGTCTTAAAAGAGAAGAGATGGTAGCCATCTAATCTAGCTGGTCGACCTGAATATTAAATACCCCCCTAACTCATTTTCAATTCCTAATCACCTGGCAGCCACTTTAGGCTTACAGCAACAGATGTCAAAGGAAAAAGTTCTTAATTGGTTGACAACAGACACACCTTCAGAATTTTTAGAATAGTTAACTACAGTTGTGAAATCGCACCGGAAAAGTTTTCTATTCAAATTTAAATTACCCACCCCCACCGCTCCCAGGGCATTTCTGAAGAACTTAACTCTATAAAAGTAGGATTTCTTCCTTTCAAATCACTTTGACCGCCTGAGCCACCTCCCACGACCAGGTCCTGGCCTTATTTCTGCCACATCCTTGAAAATCCCATTTCCCCACAGCTGCCTGCTAAGGAGCGAGCTCGGCGACCCTGTGCAGAAGCTGAGGCCGCCGCAGACAGGAAAGGAGCTGCCACCTTTCCTTTTCTGAAGGAATAACAGGGATCCGAGAAGGAGGGAGAAGTTGGAGAAGAGCCGGGTCCCTTCATCACCTGCCCCTCCGTGGGCCAACCAAATGAACCCACCTCTTCCTGCTCCTCTACCTACACCGATAAAACGCGCTAAAAACTGGTGTCAGATCTTGCCAGGCAGGAAGGGTCCTCGGAGCAGAACCGCCACCAACCTCCCGGATTTGGGCAGAGTCCTAGTTAGAGCTCGTCAACGCCGAGCGGCCTTTGCAAGCCCGAGTCCAACTCATCAATTTGCAGATAAAGGGCGGCGAGGCCCAGGGCGGGGAGGGCCCCCGAGTCCGGCCCGCAGCCAGGGGCAGCGGCCCGAGAGCCACCCGGCGCGGGGACCCAGGCGGGGGCGGGGGCGGACTCACGCTCTTGTCGATGTCCAGCTTGAGTTTCTTCTGCGAGATGCTCTTCTGGACTCTCCCTGAAGAAGGCGTTGCCCTCCTCCATGAGGAGGCAGCTCAGGCCGTGGCCCGGGGCGGCGGCGGGGGCGGCGGGGGGCCCTTCGCGGCTGTCCTCCTCGGTGCTAAAGCCGTTCATCTCCTCGCCCCGGGCCGGCCCCTCTGGGGGAAGGTCCCCCGTAGGCCACTCCGCAGCCGCGCTCCCCGCGGGGCAGGTCGCCGAGGCCCCCGCGCTCGAGGGTCCCAGAGTCCGTCTCCAGCCGAGGCGCTGCCCGGCCCCGCGCCTGGGAGGCCCGGCTCCGCTCTGCCGCGCTCCGGCTCCTTCGGTTCCCGGCCCGCGTCTCCACCAAGCCCCTTCCTCCCTGCTCGCGGCCCCGGGGTCGTCTCCCGCGGCTTGCAGGGCCCCGCCGGGAGTCACCCTGAGGCGCCTTCTACCGGGGGCCCTGAACCGTTACCCTTCGGAGGAGACGTCCAGGAGGGCGTCCCAGGAAGCACCAGCTCCCCGAGGACTCCGGGCCCGGGTTGCCAGAGGGTTCTGAGGGCCCCCGCCGGCTCCCGCCTTCTTTCGGCTGCCGGGCAAACTCGCCGCCGGGCAGCTCCCCCGGGGTGGCGCGGCCTCCCCGCGCGTGGCTGCGCCCCGAGTCCCGAGGCAGCCCCTTGGCCGCCCGGCCGCCGCCCGCCCAACGCTCCGCACCACAACAGTTCGCTCCCCCCCGCCCTCCGCGGGACAGCGGAAGTCCCGCCTCCGAGAGCCCATTGGTAGCCTTTCCTCTGTGGGCGGGGCCTCCGCCGCCGCTGGCACGTCCCATTGGGCGCCATCGCCGCCAGTCCCCGGCGCCTGGCTACTTCCTGGACTCTGCTGGGATGGGTTCAAAGTAGAGAAAGTGGAAGAGGGAAGAGTTCCCCGGGTGAGGGAGACGAGCCGGGCCGCAGACTTTCTGGGCTCGGGGAGGGATGGTTAGCAGGGTCCCGGTTGGACGGAGGGCCCGACTCCAGGGACAGAGTATCACCTTCTGGGGACAGAAGTACAGTCGTGGGCGGAGGCTCAGAGGGACAGATACGCGGTGGGGCTTGTGAGGGGGGGACCTAGAGAGAGAGGTTCTGTCATGACAGGTTCAGACTGGGTGAAACGAAGGACCAGGGCCAGAGGACCCGCAGATCCGCGGGACAGAAACCGGATAGGAAGACAGTCATGGCGGGAAAGACAGAGGGACAATCGGGACAGATACGTGGAAAGACATGGAGAGGAGGTGATGGGGGTCTGACGGCGGGTCTTGTAAGGCGGTCAGAAGCTTAGGGGTGGCGGAGACTCCCCTCTGTGGAGACTGGGATAGGCTTGGTCGGTGCGGAAGGGGAGAGGGACTGGGACCCGAGGGGCTTGGGTGACCCTTCAGCTGGGAAGATTCGGAAGTCAGGATTAGGTCTGGAGGGTGGACTGAGAGAACCGCGCGGGGAAGAGGAGGGGCTGCGGAGGAGATGCAGAAAAAGGCTGGGCCAATCTCGGCGTGGAGAAGGGTTTGCCGTATTTTGGGCCCTCCCTGGAGCTCTGTAAGCTGAGGCTTCTATTGCTTTAAGCCTCCGGGTTTACTCGCGAGGTGGCCGCGCCCTGCAGAGCCTGGGACTTGGGGTTCGGAGCCCAGAATGTCACGCACACCCCCAGGGCCGTAGGGAGATCTGCTCCAGCACGCCTAGTCGGGCCACCTCTCCACTGGGTGGCCTGGGGACAAATGAGGGCCAAAGGCCCAAAGGGATTAGTCCAGGGTCAGGCAGTCACGCAGTCTTTTAGGGCTGGGAGGCATTTTCACCAGGGGAGGGACATGAAGGGGACAGGGAGCGTTAGAGTCGCACGTGTACCTATTTTAGTAGTACTTAGTGGCATTGAAGAGGCTTCTGGTTTGTATCTTGTTGAAAACGGGAAACTACCAGTTTCCATGTTTAGAAACAGATGCCCTGTGATCTTCAGTTTTCTTCAGAGACCTTAAACGTATTTGTACCCTGTAGCCTAGTAATTTCGCATGTGAGACAGCCATTTTAGGAAACTGGCCTACTAGAAAATATTTTAAACACAACAGTGTTCATTATGGGATTATTTATAATGGGAAAATTTGAAAAGAGCTGAAAAGTTCCATACTGGAAATGGTTAAATCAACAACCTAACCCTGCGTATAGGATATGATGTGTGTACATCTATGTTTTTAAAAAAGAAAAACAACTATTTGTACATAAAAAATACACTGGAGTATCAACAGTAATTATTGTGGGGGAGTGGAAATAGGATTAATATTTTTCTCCTGTTATTCTATGTTTGCATTTTCCCCAATAAACATTTCTTGCCTTTCTAGTAGGAAAAAACAGAATAAAAATTAATAGAAAAAAAGGCAAGTTTAATAAGATTCTTCCCTTGGAGTTCATAAATTCAAAAGTAAATTACTGAGCATATAGTGTGTATACTCATTTCAGGCTTGGCCACAGGAACAAGATGAAATATAATCCTAGGCTTAAAAGAGTATAGCTTCTAGCAGGGAAGTTCAGACAGACACACAGAAAAACACCTGGTTATCTGTACAAGGCAGTGTGTGATAATGGTTTCAAACTTGATTGGTATGGATAAGAGCTCCTACATTTTCCATATTTTTTCCCTATATTTTTTCAAAATAGCATTTGCACCTAGCACCAGGGTGCTGCAGTACAGTTTATTCTGCACTAGGTTCTCCTATCACCATCCTTCTGGTGGGGAGGGGAATGGGGTCCTTATTCTTGTGGGCTTCCCTGATGGCTCAATGGGTAAAGAATCCTCCTGCAACGCAGGAAACACAGGAGATGCGGGTTAGATTCCTGGGTTGGGAAGATCCCCTGGAGAAGTGAATGACAATCTACTCCAATATTCTTGCCTGGAGAATCCCATAGACAAAGGAGCCTGGCAGGCTACAGTCCAAAGGGCCACAAAGAGTTGAACACAACTGAGCAACTAGAAGAAAGCCCTAAAAGAAAGTATTGTCTTTCAATACTTTGAGCCCTAGAAGAAAGTATTGTCTGCTCCTTATATATGTTATTCTTATTATTTTTGTGTTTGAAGTATTTATTAGAATATGATACTATATCACTGGCCATCATTTATTTGGCCATCTATTTAAAAAAGTTATTTGTTGAAGTATAGTTTTTTTAATTAGTTTTTTTGGAGTACGGTAGCTTTACAATGTTGTGTTAGTTCCTCCTTTACAGCGAAATGAATCAGCTTTACGTATACATGTGTCCCTTTTTTGGATTTCCTATATCTGCTACTCCTGTATTCTTGAGAGTGAGTTCTCTTTACTTCTTACTGGGGAATGCCTCCTTACTACAGTCCCATTATAATTAAGAAATCTTTACCTTTCTCCATTTAAATTACTGTTATGTTTCTCTCCTAATTACCTCCATCCTCTATGTATTTTTGACGGGGGGGGGGGGGGGTGGCACATGCTTTTAACTAGCCTTTACATATAATTTTATAGTCTTTCTTCAGGGGAAAGGTGACTAATACAGAAGGGTCAGAGAGATAAAAAGTTACTGTCTTTGAGGATGGAGGAAGGGAGCCATGAGCTAAGGAATCACCTGGTTGCCTGGAAATAGGAATAGCTGTCGGGTGGCCTGGATTACAGGGCTCCAAGAACAGAGAAGCAATGCACTTTGCCAGGCAAGACTCCAGTCTCCTTGACCTTCCCTGAGTTCCCAAGGGTAGACTGGAACAGTTGAGGAGCAGCCTAGAAACCATCTGAGGCAAGATTAAAGAAACCTTTAATTTTAAGAGTTAAACCTTTAAGATTAAAGAAACCAGAGAAGCTCATCAAGATTAGGAGACCAACTATGTGAGATGAGATTAAAGGAGTACAAGCCCTATTCACACCCTAATCTTGTCAGACCCCATCTTTGACCCACTGTTATAAAAACCCTCATCAAATTCCCTGGCTTGAGACATAGTTTTTCAAGGCAGAGGCCTGGTGTGTTTCCCTTTTCCTGGCAAAGCAATAATGCTATCCTTTCTGCTTTACCTGCCTCTGCCCCCACCAACCCACAAAAAGAGACAAAACAACAACAAAAGAAACCTTTATCATAAACTTTCCTTGTGCTATTATATAGATTAGTTACAAATAGTAATATCTGAAAAAAATTCCAGTCTCCTTGCTGGGGGAATAAATCTATAACTCCGGAAAGGAGATATGAATAAATAGATATTGCAGGAATGAATACAGGAGGGAGAAGATTCTGTGATCTTATCCTGCTTTGTGTAGGATTTAAGATTCTTGAAATGGCCCTGAGAGTCTGACTTACAAGTTTAGGTAATTAATTTACAACATTTGCTTAAGTGCTTAGAAATATCTGGCTTTTTAGATTTGTAAGTCTACCCTGTTGGCCATTTCAAATGTTTGAGAAAATCAGGCATATTAAATTAGTAATTGTAGTTGGAAATGTCTAAGGAAATTTGATTAATTAAGGCTGTAAGTCTGTTCAATGTGTAAGGAGGACTGAATCTACTAAACTTAAGAATTAATAGTAATCACAGAACAAGTGAAAGTGATTGTTCTTATCTTTATACAAAAAATTTACTAGATTTATAATAGAATCGCAAGGTTCATAAGTTGAACTTAAAGTCTTAAAGAAAAGCTAGGTTTTTAAATGGGCAACTAACATTCTTTTCCATACCCAAACCTACCCCCAGGTATTTAAAATAGCAGATCAGTAGCCCCCAGTTTTATAGTTCTAGCTGAGACCTCTCTTCTGAACTCCAGATAACAACATTCGGCTCTGCTTGGAAAGCTTTAGATGCATTGCAGACCACAATGTTCAAGTTAACTTTTTCTGACACCCAAATCCATAAACTCTAACCGTTATCATCCTTGACTCTCCCTCCCTCTCCCTCTACTTCAAGCCAACCCATCATCAAGGCATTTTCTTCTATTTCCAATAGATAGTCAGAATTTCTCCCCTTCATTTTCTACAGCCAGCAGCTCAGCCCAGCCCAGCATGATCTTTTGCCTGGAATGTTTCACTGGCCTGTTCCTAAATCACTTATTCTCTAGGGAGCAAACCTAGACCATGCCACACCCTCCTTAAGGCCGCTCATCAGCTTCCCAGTGCATCCTGGGAGGCTGCCATCTCTTT